ATCTACGATATTTCAGTACATATTGTATCCAAATTGTTGAAAATTGGTATGCGAAGTAAATTTTTGGAAAATGGGAGTGGCCCCGCGCACTTATAATGAAATTCTGTACCTCAGTTTCTGCTTAACCAATCCGTTCCAAACTCGGTATGAGCCTTTCTTAGGCTATATCTAACATATCTGCTAAAAACCCTTAAAATCGGTCGATAACCACGCCCACTTCGCATATAACGGTAATTTACAGAAACATGAAAACTGCGATAAATCAGTAACTACTGAAGCTAATTCACTCAAAATCGATTCTTGGAATAACCTCTAAACACCGATTTATCAATTTGTACCAAACTCGGTGCACTTAATAACCTCGGTATGGAAAAGCAATGCGTTGAAAATACGAAACCTCCGATATTTCAGTAATTGAGGACGCTAATTTACTCCAAGTTAATACTTACAACATTCTCTTAACAATAAATAAGACTATTATATTACTATTATTGTTACAAAAATAATAATACATACTTACCTTACCTATACTGGGATACATATTTGAATTATCTGGTTCCCTAAATTGAAGTTAATTTGATTTTTTACACCGGTGGCAACCCTGGGAGGTTGCTTAGAGATAAAGCCTTTTCAAACCCATTTCCATTGATACCCATATTGCAGCAATTCATTTAACTAATTGAACAAAAAATTTTAACAGGTGGTAGCTCTGTTAATGTTTTAACCTAGATATAAATTTTCTCCTCGCTGAGACGAACACGTAAATATGCGTGTTCCTACAATCGGACCACGGAAACATGGAGTCTTTCGATGTCAAATGTTAAGCAATTTTATTTTCTTTGTTTTTATGGAATAATTGGACGTCCTCCCCTTCTATTTACTTGATTTTAGACATAATTCTAGATGTCAAAACACGTATTTTCTAAACTTTTCGAGTTGAAATATTCATAAAAATAATTTTGGCCGCATAAATCGGCCAAATACCCCTATGTGCGGTGGCCAATATGCATGTCCATATTCCCAGAAGGCTTCCTTGATTCAGATGAAGATATCGAAATTGATGTGCCACTTAAGGATAGAACATTATCTTCCGAGTGGGAAGTGCTTCCAAAAATAGTAAAATACCTAGTGTACGGAGATTGATAATGAAACTTATGAGAATGTCAAACTATGATTAATGTCAACAATATTCCTTTCAAATTCATGTCAGACTTCAAACTCTTAATAACGGTAAATTGCCAACAAACTGCTACATCTACTTACTCTTGTCCTTACTGTTTTATTAAACTGTCGATCTGAGAATCCGTGCAAACTTAAGTAAGACGGATGTGACTATTGCAACCAGTTTAGAGCAACCTATGAGACTTAAAACGTACGGAGGTTTAAAAAGAGATAATGAAAAATTTTGCTCTATATGGAAAATAAAGAAATGTTCTAACAAATGCAATAGTACAATAAATCCCCCGCTTTTCAATAAAGAATACGACATTTATGTTCTACAAAAATGCGTTATTTCCCGAGTTGCAACTTTTACAAGGATTTGTGAACCATTTATTTTGGGATGGAATAGTTCCTCGTTTAGGTAGAGAAAAGGCCTTAATATGGGCAAACAAACTAAAAGTTATCCCGAAAAACTGTCCTTGCGATGTATTTCAAGGAAACGCTGGCCGGAAGCTTTTAAAAGAGTCGCATAAACTTCTAGATGAAGATATTTATGAAGGCATTGGAATTTTCCATTAAGTACCATTTGTAACAGCAATTCAAGGCTGTGAACAAAGTAGATACTTGCTGTTTTTCTTCTTCAAAAATGCATGATGATGTAGATACTTGTTTGACTGAGTTAGAAATGCTTTTCAGAGCTTAAAAATTACAGTGACATTGAAAATCCTTGTGCTCTTGACACATTTAAAAGATTCCTTGATCTTACTAATAACCACGGAACGGATTTTATGGAAATTGCCGTTTTTTCTGCTAAAGAGATAGAGTATATTCGATTAAGAATGTCCACGATTTAGCTTTCCCTGATTCCATATATACACATTTGATGTTGCCTTTTTTGCCTTTTTTTTTTGCCTTTTTTAAGATATTTGCCTTTTCTACCTTTAAAAAAGTGATTATAGCATTTACAATTTTTTTTTAAGATTAAAAAATATACAGATGCCCATGCGGCTTATAGAAGCGCAGGGACCTCTTGCCAAATTGGTGTTGGAAAAATTCAAAGCCGTTTTCTCAGCTCACGTAGGCTTGGAGATAATAAGGGGTGTGGATAAAATTGTAAAGGGCGAGGAAGGCGCCCTTATTCCTGATAATATGAACGTTTCAAACGTTCCATATTTAAATTGGGCTCCACTTGTATCAACTTACGTCGAGCACACATTTAGTACATTCAAGGCTTTTCTTCGCGAAAATCGAATGAAAATGCTGCCAGAAAACTTCAAAATGCATCTTGTGGTTCAATGTTACTACAACTATAC